TGAGATCCTAAGCCCTCGAGCAGCAGATCCAGCAAAACCCTATTTACATTCGGAAGACCTGCAATGCTGACATTAAGCTGCTGTGTTGTCAATGAAGGAGAGTTATGAATGTGTCCAATGAATGTACCGTAAAGAAACTGAAAATAGAAATATTTGCAATCAGCTTGGTGTGAAAGAAATGAAACTGGTGGCTAATTTTGCCATTGTTTCTGCTTGAAGGTATCTTATGCCAGCTGAAAGTTCAAAGGCTTGCAACGCTCCCATTTTTCCCACAGAGTTAACTTCCGTGAAACCATTAAGGGATCTTGAATTTCAGATCAGTTTACACTTCCTGAAAACAAACCATCCAGAACAAAGTAACAGGATAAGGGAACAGGCTTCAATAATGGCAATAATTTAGAAGTGGCCAAATCCTTTCCTATCTTTTAATCATATAATGGTCCCTTTCTTTATGAGGAGCGTGCAGGAAGAAGGATGGCATGAGGAGCAATTTAAATGCTTGGAAGAAAGAAATTGTTTATATCCCCTGCTTTCTTTTTAAATAATAATCCAATATAGGTTAAGGATCTAACAACAACAAAAAGGAGCTGCTTATTATCTTAACACTATGGCAGAATGCTTTGAGGGAACCCACAAGGTTATGAAGAGCCCAAGAATAAAAATAATTCACAAGGAGAAACTTTGGGCAAAACAGAAGGTCAGATTTTAAAAATCTGAACATTGAAGGAGTGCCTGGAAATTGCTGGTATTTATTCACTGGCAAGTCCAGGAGGTAAAGTGAGAAAAATGGACTGTGTTTTTTACCCCACCCTGCTTCACCCACTCTTTTTTCATTTTGCTATTCTGCCACAATCTTTTAAACTAATAGAATTTGTAATGGACTATTAATTTTCCCGCAGATTAAAAAATTAATTGAATCGCACGTCTGATTAGAGATATATATGCAATGTTTTTGAGGGGGAAGAGAAATTTCAGGAGGAGAATACGATCAGCTTAAAAGTGCTTTCTGATCAAGTAACTCTGTCTATGTCAAGTTCCCATATTCCTCAGTGTACATTTTAAGATCACAAAAACGTATTTTAGCTGAATTACCTGGCTAATGCTGAACACTGAAAAGCGTTTTATATATATAGCACCAATATAACACGAACTGATTGACAGAAGAGCTGGCAATCGAGATGCACCGAAGTTAAGACTTCATTTAGAAGACTGTTTCAACCACAGGTGGTATGTCACCTCCCACATTAATCCACTGTGACTCCATTATTCCTAGAAAAGTACATAATTCTAAGGAGCTGGCAGGGAAATCTGGTGGAGAGATATCATGGCCCGCCAATCAATCTTGGTTATCATTGCTGTCTACATGCCAGCTCTCCATTTCTCCCACTTGGATGCACCGAGCTTTGCCATTCCAGGCTCCTCGGACATGTTTTAATCCATCGGTTCAGCCAACTGGAACTGTAGAACCAGGGCAGAAGCAGCCCACAAATCTCCCACCCCCCAGCTTCACCTGGGGGGGGGGAGGACAGGTGGGGTGTAGAAGGCAAAGCTCAGCGGTGCCAAACTCAACATGTGCAACCAAGATTAACCCTGATAATACAGTTGGAAGTGCAGAGATCAACCTGCCCCAACTTGAACCGAACTGTCTACAAGTTAAAACACGGACGTAAATATAGCCATGTCATAAACAATCGCTCGCTCCCTGAAGGATCACAGTGCCCTACCAACTCTAATGTTCCGCAGAAAGCAGCAACAAAAATGCCTGTTTCAACAGCTTAATTCTCTGTGCTTGTTCCAGATCCTCTTGGTGCCTCTCACGTCAAGCGTTGCCCACTGGAAAAGTTCTTGGAGTGTTCAACGTTTGTGGAATCTGAGCAGACCTGGACACAATTGCTTTTAATCAGTAGCTTCAAAGGCCCTAATTCTCAGCAGAAAGAAAAAACCCAACAGGCCTTTTCTCGGTATTTGGCGCTTATATAGCGTGCTGCTTTGAACAAACAAGAGAGCTGGATTCAGCTACACTTCCTGCACGCACGGCTAGGATAAAGTTGTGGCCACCTCAGAGGGGCAAGGAAGATGGGGGAAGATACGGTAAGGCCTAGATAAACTTCATTAAATACATTTTGCACACCACCACCACTTCAAAAATACTGGAAATAATTCTCTTTTCCAAGCAACGTTATTAAGTTGTGGAAAGCAGCAGGCCCAAACCAAGGTTGGAAATCTTGACTGGCAATCTGCTACCTTCACATCTATTCAAATACGAGCGAATACACCAATGTTTGGTGGATTCACACAAAGAACCAAACCAGACCCCGTTTCACTCATCCAGTTCCTGCATTCAGGCCGGCCGTCTTTTATTTTGCATGTGTTGGAGAAGGGCAAACTTTGGGAAAGAGAGAGATCCTGAAACAACACACCAATTCCGAGGAAGACTGAAGCCGATCTTCAAATGATCTACCAAACCAAGGAAGCACCTTGCAAACCTTAACAAGGGTTTGTTAAGGACAAATCCTGACAGGCTAACTTTATTTAAAGATTGGATAACTGCCATAGTAGATTGTCCCACATTCGTCTTAGACCTTTGAGCAAAAACTTTGATAAAACATACTGCATCATGGTGGCTATCAAGCTAGATAAGTATGGATGGCATGACAATTAAATGAACAGCTCAAAAATTAGCTCAAAAAGCACACACTGCCTCAAAAAGCATTTATCATTAATTGTTCCTCCTCAGACTAGGAGGAAATACCACGTGAGATACCAAAAGGTTAAGTCTCAGGCTGCGCCCACTTTTATTAATCACATGAAGGAAGTGGAGGGAGAATGCTTATCATATCTACAGATAACACAACATCGAGGGACGTAACTAATATCTTAGACCAGGGGTCTCCAACCTTGGCAACTTTAAGCCTGGAGGACTTCAACTCCCAGAATTGGCAAAGTTGCCAGGGGAATTCTGGGAGTTGAAGTCCTCCAGGCTTAAAGTTGCCAACGTTGGAGACCCCTGTCTTAGACCACAGCAATAAAATTCAGAACGATCTTGATGGATTAGAGAAAGGGCCTGAAGATGCCAAAATGAAATTTAACAAAGACCCTGCTCCAAGTTAGGAAACCGACAACCAGAAGCCCAGGTAGAGAAAAAGGGACAGCGTACTAGACGATGCTTGTCTAGGAAAAGGGGCGGCCTACAGACTTGAGTATGAGGAAGTGATGTGGTATGGCTACAAAAAAGGCAAATGGGATTTTAGACTGCCTCATCAGAAGAGAAGTTCTGAAAACACAGGAAGTGCCTCTTTTACGCTGCATTAATCAGACTCCATGTTGATCACTGCGTTCAGATTTCAGCAACACAAACACACACAAACACAAAGGGTTCACACCAACTGGTGTAGATCCAGAAATGGCCATGAGAACTGGAAAATAAGACAGAAAGGAGGCCCTAGAAATGTTTAACCTTGAGAAGAGAAGAACAAAGAGCAACTTAGCAGCAGCTATCGGGAGGTTACAATGGACATCCAACCCTGTCCTCAGATCGTCCCAGAACACGGAATAAGGGCCCGAAGGGACAGGGAAGCAGATTCCAAGTGGACATCCTGAAAAAAAACAGCCGCCACTTCCTAAGAGCCTGAGGGGGAAGCCAACTATCAAGAAAGACCATAGACTTCCCTTCGCGGGATGAGCTCAAGCAGGAGGAGGTCAACCGTCTGTCAGGGGTGCTTTACTCTGGATTTTTGCACGGAGCAGGTCCTTGGCCTGGGTGGTTAAAAGAGACCCCACACACACCTCCGAGTAGCAAATCTTCATTCATAGGATGAGGAAATGAGCTGCACATAAAAAGCTGAGGAGGAGGAAAGCCAACGTGACTTGAGGCCTCATCATGACAGGCCATGTTTATGAAGAGTCCCTGACCTGGAAGTTTCTAAATGCACTCTCATTATTCCAGCCCCCGCTTCCCCCCCAGCCAGGATGATGATAGTTTCTTTCCTGCCTTATTATAAACAATGGTTAATTCAGCTGCCCGGCCCTTAAAAGAGTCCGGTGGATTAAAGCTGCATAAAAGGCTTCTGAACAAACTACATTTCTAATGCCAGGTTGCATGCATGCAAAAGCGAAAAAAGCATATGAGTAAAGAAATCCCGGCTTTTTCCCCCGCCTGGGTATCTGATCCAGTTTCCTAATAAAGACGATGCAAAACGAGATGGAATTAAGCCAGGAGCAGAAGAATGAAACGTGACCTTCGATGATTTAAAACAACCTTTAACACCCAAGTTTAGAAATTCGGCCTTGGAAGAATGTTAGGATGCAGAAGATCCCATCCGCCCCCCCCCCCAAAAAAAACCCATCTGGAAAAATACCAAAAGCCTGAACTTTGCATCCAAACACTTTGGGGAAGAGTTTGGGACCGTACCTTTTGTTTGGGGGGTGGGGTGGGGTGTCCGTTTTTGCTTGCCAGCCCTTCGGTGTGGGGGGGGCATTGCAGAAAATAAAAGCTTATTTGCCTTTGGAGCAAGGTCAGATTTGGGGGGAAGGGGGGGGGCGAAGGGACCCAATGCAGCCCAAATTTGCCTTGCCTTGGCTTTGTCTTCCAAGAAGCCCCCCAAACCTTTTCAATGGAGAAAAACACCCGAGAAAGAAGCCCCCCCGCTTTTCCCCCGTGCATTTTTTTTTGGGGGGGGGGGTCTGCTTGCCAGGATTTCCCCTCCTCCCAGCCTGGCAGCAGGACCCCCTCCCCTTTCCGCCCCTCCCCCTCCCCTTGCCACCTGGGCTTTGCCAAGGACCCCCAAGGAAACCGGGGTGCAATTCCTGGACCCGAGACTTGCAAAGGGAAACCCCCCCCGTTGCAAAACTCCCTCCAGGGAGGGGGAGCCCCAGCCGGGGGGCCCCCCGCCCCCCCCGCCCCCCCGCCCCCCCGGCCCCCCCTGGCCAGGCAGCTCAGCCCCCCCAACAGGGCAGGGACCCCCGCGGGAGGGCGAAGACCCCTCCCCGGCCCCACTCACCTGCATGCCGGGCACCTGGACGGGCGAGAGGGCCATGGCGGCTCCGAGGAGGAGGAGGAGGAGGAGGAAGGCGGCCGCAAGCTGCACCGGGGCCTGCGGGGGAGGCGGCGGGAGAAGAAGGCTGGGGGGGCTCCGCAGAGGCCCCGCCCGCCCAGGCCCACCCCGGACCCGCCCTCCCACACTCCAGAGCCCATCCTCCCCGCCCGGAGGGCCCTCCCCAGCGGGGCGGCGGCGGCGGCGCCTCCGAGGCAGGGAGGGCCTGGCCGGGCCTCGGGCCTGCTGCTGCTCCCAGGCCGCGGGAGGAGGGGGCTCCGAGGCAGACCCCCGCCGGCCTTGGGGGGGGGCTCCCCGCCGCCGGCGCCGCCCCCGGCCCGCCGCTCGCTGCCGCTCACCTTTCCGCCGCGCAGGGGAGCCGGCGCGCCGCCGAACTACAGCTCCCGGCGTGCCCCGCGCGTGGCGCCGCCGTCTTGGCCGCAGGGGATGCCGGGAGTTGTGCGGGGCCAGCCAGGCGGCGCTCGCTCGCTTGTTCGCTCGCCTGCAGGGCTCGCAAAGCGGGTAGACCGGGCAGCGCAGGGGGAGGAGGCGGGGGGGTGGGGGGGGGCTGTGTCTCCGGCCGGCAGCAGCCCCTCCTCTTCTGCCCCCTTGCTAGGCGTCCCTCTCGCCCCTCCCTGCATGCCTAACATTCGGCAAGGCTCCCTTGGGGGCGGAGGGACCCCCCCTTCATTGGAAGAGCCCCCCCCGCCCCGGATCAGGATTTGGGTTCCTCCTGGGGTGGGGGCTAAGTTAAGACTCTGCTCCTCCCTCCTTGGGCTTGGCTGATGCCCTTTGGGTGCCCGTTTTGGGCCCTCTTGAGTTATGGATGGGCAATGGAGGGGAAAACCACTTTAAAGAAAAAGAAAAAGGTTATAAAATTTTCTTTATGTACACTGAGAGCATCTGCACCAAGACAAATCCCTTTTCTGTCCAATCACACTTGGCCAATAAAGAATTCTATTCTATTTCTATTCTATTCTCTCCTATTTCTATTCTATTCTTATTCTATTCTAAAATTAACGATCGTTGCACAGGGAGGTTTTCTAAAGGAGCTTTTCTTTTGGGATGCAGCGTTTCCAGGGATTTTGCCCTGCTCCGTCTTCTTCCCCTCCCTGTTTCGAAAAGGCAACCTCCATCAGCGGGTGGGGTTGTGGTTCCAGGACTGGATTCCAGGGAAATATTCACAGATCGGGTGATTTTATAGCAGGAGAAACTGGGAGAGTTTCTGATAGGGATGCTCTTAATGGAAGATTAGTCTCCCGAGGGAGTTTGGAAGAGCTGGTAGCAAAGGGTTCAAAGTCACCAGCATCTGGATCAATAAATAGCAAAGAAGATGCATCTGACCTGGCTAAGGGCACCTTTGGAATTTGTGTTGTTGCGGGAAATTCGACCACATTACCCTGCAGACTCTGTTCGGGGGGGGCCCCCCAGCCTAATACTACTTTCAGCAAAGGGTCCAGGATGAAGAGGGAAACTTGAGCAACACCATCAGGGTTAGTTACAGAGATTCAGGAGCCATTCAGGGAGCCTCAAGGTGCATAAAATCCTTCCTAAGGGTGGTGAGCCATCAGCTAGGACAGGGGTCTCCAACCCTGGGCAACTTCTAAGACGGGGGTGGACTTCAAATTCTGCTACCCATTTCCTTGGAGAGCACTGGCAATGAATGGGAAGAGGAGCAAGGGTCGACTTTGCAATGGGGATGGCCAATGGTATTATGCCAGTAGAGATGGACAGAGGGACATCTGCAGTTCCACAGATGGGAAATTCACGTGTGCGTCAGGCAAATGGGGCCTTCAGATGCCAGTAGCTGCACGTTCTCCCTTTGCCTCCACACTGAATCAGGGGAAAAAACTGCTCATCTCTTCCTCCTCCTCCCACTCTACTCTGTCCCTTCCAAAGCAGCCTTCGCACCAAGCTGCAGCCTTAGAAAAGAAGCTGTTTCCATTCAAATCAACATTTGTGGCATGCTCTGTATCTCGGCAACGGAAAAGGAAAAGCAGAACTCCCAAGAAACTGCTTGGTCAATTCCAGGCTCCGGTACCTGGCACAAACTTGAGACGAAGCCAGCTTTCTCCCCGGTCCCAAAAGGAAAACAAGTACGATGCCACCTTGGCTAAAAATACACCGAAAAGGGCTCATTGGTTCTGTTGACTTTGCGGCTTCAGCCCTTTAACAGCAGCTCGCAGTAAACTTGGGGGGGGTGAGGGAGGCGTTCCTGGGACGCAAACGGCATTTCTCCAAAAATATTAATGAAATATTTATGAAAACAAAATGTAAACAAGTTTTGAATTCTGGAAATATGAGGAGAGCCAGGGTGCACAAAAAGTCATGCGCCTTAAAAGTCAATCGTTGGGGTTTCTCTGCCAGGATCCTCCAGCACAGTGATGGTGGCCCTATCAGACAGGTCTGACAGGTGACACACTATATAGCATGTTGGCTGACATGCCAGCATTCACCAACACCCGACATCTTCAGTGACTAGGTAAAGAATTGTTTCTCTTTTGTTTGGGTGTGTGAGAGACATACCAGCACCGTCAAGCATTTTCTGAATTTTTGACACACCAAGCCTAAAACATTTTGCCATCATCGCTCTAAGACAGGGGTAGGGGAACTTGGCTCTTTTATCACTTATGGACTTCACTTCCCAGAATTCCTGAGTGAGCCATAAAAGGTTCCCCATCCCTGGCCTACTGGTTTTTCAGTTGTGGGGGAAATCAATTTTTGACTTGAACGGGACTGTTTAATATACAAATGTTGGACATATAAAGAATATATAAAGAATATATGTCCTACATTTGTATATTAAACAGTCCCATTCAAGTCAAAAATTGATTTCCCCCACAACTGAAAAACCAGTAGGCCAGGGATGGGCAACCTTTTATGGCTCACTCAGGAATTCTGGGAAGTGAAGTCCACAAGTGATAAAAGAGCCAAGTTCCCCTACCCCTGAACTAGGATGTTTCCTCCTGCTCTCTACAACGCCCAGAGATCTATCTCTGAGGAATGTTCTTCCTAATACCTTCTATTCCCCAAGATTGGGCCACTCTTAGCATGGGCTTGCTTCTTATGCCCCTGGGGCTGCCTGTTTAATAGAAATAATGTCATATTTGGCTATCTGGGCATAAACAGCCATGGTGGCTATTCAGTTGGCTACTTTTAATTAATCAAGGCTTCAACGGAACGGGACAATTTATCACAGTCAACTCGCCGTGGCCAGTTCTCTGTGGCCAACATGCCATGGCCAACTTGCCTTGGCCAACTCATTGCGGTGGGGGGGGAGGGGGAGAACTGGCCACAGGATTCACACTTCCTATTGTTGTTGTTGACCACATTTTTGTCAACATTATTCTCTCTCATCCATCAAAGGAAAACATTCCTATGACTAACAGCTTTTGTAATGCCTTGATGAATAATAAAAGGAACTAATCCCGCATTGAATTGTTCTGTGGTGAGTTGGCCACGGCAGGTTGGCTGTGATGAATTGGCCAAGGTGAGTTGTCATAGACCGTCAATTTCTGCAACTCAACCGGGTGTCGTTCAGGCCAATGATGGATCCAAGGGTACCTGAGGTCCCAGGTGCTTCTTGCCTGTTTATCAGGCAGAAATCCAACAGCGAGTGTCTTTGCCCATCTGAACGTGTCTTGCTAGAAAATATTGCATGCTGAATGGTTGCTTTTTAAATAACTTCCTGAATCTTCCACCCCTCCCTGCACGAGAGGCTCCTACGTGTGTGTTTATGTGTGTGTGTAAAACAGATATTGGTTTAGTCATAAGGGACTTCCTGCTTACTTTCTCTGCTTCCTTTTTTCATGAAAACTTCACCTTCGTTCATCCGCTGCCAGGGCGCTTTTGACTCACGGTAGCAAATTTCTTACACTGACTTCCCTCCCTGCGGAGCAGATCAGGAGAGATGCTTGTGAGGAGTAATCGACCCTGTCTGGGATCCAGCCTCATGCGTAGCATGATGGGAAAAGTTATCCCTTCCTGAACCGATTGGCAACAACATCACCAGCCTTTGCGATTCTTCCCAGGCCCCGTGGGAAGTTTTTGTGACATACGCTGCCTCCCCTCTCAGTTCAATGCCTTACAGATTGTGCCAGTGTCTGCTCTCGTAATTCTTGAGCGCTCCTCTTTTTCACCCCAATGTCCATCGTCAAAATAGTTTCTGAAGGCGGGATGGTTTTTGTTGTTTTGTCATACGTATGCAAGATTTTTTTTTTTTAAGTTTACATCATTCATAGGCAAGATATGTTGTGTCACCCACAAGATAAAGTTTGCAAGATTTTAAAAAGCTGCTGTGGCATTTTACATCGGCCTCGCTAAACATTCTTTCAATGGGAAGTTCTCTACTCATTACAGCTCTCCATATTATGGGCTGGTGGGGGAAGCAGTGTCCATTCGTAAAGGCTCTGTTCTGCCCCCTGGCGTCTGTTATTCCTAAAAAATTTATATTAGGCCGGTGAAACTCCACTCCTGGCTTCTCAAAGTCAGCTAACAGGTAGGAAGTGACAATTTTCCATCTTCATGACACGTACAAAGCTCACGACGTGCAATATATATTGCAGCTCTTCTTTCACGGAGATGGTTCCAAAGTCTTGAGAAATTGCCTCTTTGGGTCATCCTTGTTCAACCAGAGTTTAAGGCTGCCCTTCATTTTTTGCACAAGCTTCTGTTTTTGTTGTCTGCGATCCACCCTGCAGACCTCCCAAAATTGCACACACCTTTTTGAATTAAAAAGAAAACAACCTTCCACACTTTTCTTGAGTTTTCTACATGCCAGGATTCCCCAACGTATCACGGAGACGTCTCTCTGATCTATTTAGGATTTGGAATGATCAGTTGATCTGGTGCCCAGTGCTACTATTCCATTGGTATGTGACAGACTGCCTTGTTACCATCTTTGGAAGCTGGATGCAGAAAGGAAAAGAGAGAGAATCTAAAAATAAACAAGGGAATAAATAAATAGGAACATGTGGGACCTGACAACTCTTTCTTTCTTTCTTTCTTTCTTTCTTTCTTTCTTTCTTTCTTTCT